GCACTACCAGCTCAAACTCCATGAGAGTGACCATGGTTCACGCGCTCCGGCGGCCCAATTTGGAATTTTGGGCGCCACTTAATGCTGCTGCGCGCTCTAATGGTATGGCTAAAGGTATGACCTTGGCCGTTGGGGGAGGGTGACGAGCTCCAATGCCATCGTCTCAGTCCAAGGGCCCAGCACTTTTGAGGCTGGTCAGATGCAAAGTATTAGAGGAAGCGGGTATTCCAGTTGCCTATTACCCTCGCTCGATCAACATTTGCATCCAAAGACATACGACGACCATACAACGCCGGGCTAAAGGATACCACGCAAGCGTCAGCCACGCGTCATGAGATGCATGCCAGCTGGCCAACAAAAAAAGAGGACGGCAGACGGGTATTATCGTGTTCAAGTGCTGACGCTGTTAGTCATACTATTATCTCCACCCGCCTGCCCATCTGCATCCATGTTTGCCGAGTGGCGGCGAGCCCGGCAGCTGGACCCTACGGCTATATGTGCGGAAACTGCCAGTCTGCAAGGCATAGATTCTTCCGCGGGCCCACGGCAAGAGCGTATGACGTGAGAGGGCCCTGACCGGGTCCTCCTGCTCGCCAGTGTAACTTGAACTGCAGAGTACCATTGGCGCCTGGCCCCTCGTGATTCTTGATCGCTTTGGCCCCGGTGCACCGCCCCATATCGCTCAATTCAAGTTCTCTGTTGGTTCGCCTTTTTTATCCCTTTGTTACTCCTGGTGTCATTTGAAGTGGTCTCCACAGCGCTGTTCAAAGAAAAAAGAGCCACATGGGCCGCAGGATTAGACTGCTGGCAACCGATATATAAAGCAGGCCGTGCGGTGGTATTGGCGGGGGCGGAGATTTTTGTGATGGTTTTTCAGCTGCTTGCCCTGTACTATCAGTCAATTTTAGATACCATTGCCTGCAACGGAGGTTCTTGCATCGTTTGCGCTAACACTGGAATCCATTCGGTAGGCCAGAGGTGCGCCAATACCCTGCCAAATACTTTGACCTTGAGGAGCCCCACCTCATATATCGCCCGGCAGTCCACACACATACTCATACACCGACATTGTTCTGTGCGCTGCCGTACCTTTTGGTAGACCCATCCCCGACTTGCTTATTGACACCGATTACACGCAAAGAAATACTCGGCCAAGGAGCTAGTGACTTTCTCATACCTGCCCAAGGCCCCACTAGTGGCCTAAATAGCGCTCGCCTTGGTTGGATACCCTTGTGACCACTGCTGGTCTGAATCTAACACCGCTGCCATGGGGGTCGACGTACAAGACGTGGGCCAAAGTGCCGTTCCCACGCACTCTTTGTCACATACTATCTACCCTTCTGAGCCTGCCCACGAGTCCATTCTGCAGGCCACCCCGCCCCCACGTCAGCCAGGGTCATCCAAAGTGGTATTTTCCAGCCCTGCCTCCAATACCGTAAATGCCCCAACGCACCATGGTTCAATAGGTCAAAGTAAGGCGCCGCATATCGCCTTTGGCACCTTGCCAGATTCGAGCTATTTTCCTGACCAGTCGCGTGACGCGTGCCATGATAGCTCAAAAACCACAAACTTTACTACTACCTCGACTGTCATTTCCCATCCCGGCACCAACACGCCCTGTGACCCAACAACTTCGCATCCACCCATAGCGCAGGGGGAGCCGTGGCCAAAGCCCTCACAGAATAAGCCGAGCCACTGCCTCATGTCGGCTAGTACGTCGGTCCAGCGTCCGCGCAGCCTGCCCAAAGACCATGTGCTTAATCCAACGACCAGTGCCGCTGATGATGTGCCTGAACCAAAGCGTCGATTGAACTCCAGGGACTTGACCTTAGATGGCATCCGCCTTGGCGTGAGCCAGCTCCCCCCTCAGCCCTACCATGAACTGAAGCCAGTGCAAGACTATGTGCCCACGCCCTACGTTCAGCTCGACTCCTTTGTGCCTAGTCCCTACGATGCTGGAACCCCTGATAGCACGACAACGCCGCATCAGGGTCACCCAGAGCCCACCGAAGCACGCTATGTCACCTGCAGCAGTTCAGATGCCAGCACCGCTGCTCACCACCGATTGCCCAGGACCAGTGCCATTTGCCCTGCTCGTGAGGTGCAGTCGATGCACCCTTGTCCATCGAACCAAGGCGCCGCCGCCCTCAACCACCCTCAGTCGTCAGGCTTGTCAACCACACTGCACAACCTGGCCCATCGCATGGCTCATAAACTAAAGCCCAGCACTGACCACCATCATCCGGCTCGCCACGCCAACCGCATGAATAACTCACATACGTCAGCAGAATAATAGACTGGGGGGTTGAGCAGCTTCCTGCTTCAACTGAGGGTTATTCTATTGGACTGTTTATGTACGGCTAGCGCAGTAAAAGTTACGGCACACATGCCCTGGATTGAGATTTTTATTGTAGTTTTGTGTGTAACCTAGGCACACAGGAATGCAACCAGCACCAAGCATCAATATCGCTCGTTGTGGTCGAACACGATGTGCCTGCTTCTTGCAATGACCATGCCCTGCTGTACAATGGCGCCGCGAGCTAGGGCTTCTCCTATGAAAAAGGCCTCTTGGAAGGGCATACACGGCGCCAGTTGGGTGCAGTTGGCGTTTACTATAGGAGATAGGGGTTATTGTTTTAACTCCACTTGCTACCAGCGTCTATCGGTGGCTCTATGGAGGCAACACCACACCAATAAATAATAAACCCCAGAAGCCTTGATTGCCAAGTGTTTATTGACTGGGAGGACAAAAAACGAAGCAATGAACTACCTTAATAGAGACCCTATGAGTTGCACGTTGAGTAGGGCCCATTACCAAGACCCAATTTACCGGTCAGGTAATATTAGTGGGCCATGGTATTCAAGCCGTAAACGTGGTCTCATTGTTCTTGGTGGTAACGCTGACCAACGCGCCAGAGGTGGGCCGACCCACCCCAGTAGCCCAGTCATAGAGTTTTCTGCGATAATATTCACGATGCCAGAAAAACGTTGGTATGGGTTAGCTTGGTTCGTATTTGGGAGATGTGTGCGGGCACATGGAGGTGAGGTAGCCCAAGGTTGCCATGGTTTGGCGTCCCCTACCGCTCAACGAATGCCATTTTCTGTCTCCATATTTTTCCAACACTTACTGGGCAACAACCGCCAACTGCGTCCACGACGAGAGGTTGGCCCCAGGCATGCCCTGGCGGTTCTCGGGGGTGTCCAAGACAACGGGCAGCAGGCAGTTCACGCTGGCATCTTTGGGCATCCCACTGCTCGGGTCAGCCAGGCTCACGGTCAATTGGTGCACTGACGCCTTGGCCATCCCGTACCCAATCATCGTGGGGGTTCCTTGCTGAGCGACCAGTGCACCCGTCAAGGACAGCATTCCACCGTCGCGCAGGTACTTGGTGGCAATATGGGCCGCTATCACCGACGTCTGTACGCTCTGCTTCCACATCAGCAAGGTGCTATCAAACAGGCTGGTGGCCGAAGCATTGCCTCCGGCCCATCCGCCCGCGACGCAGATGATCGCGTCGACCTTGGATACCACTGCCGGAACCGTTGCTTGCGTACGAGCAGACGAAAGCAAGTCGGCCAACTGAATCATGGCCTGCTGGCCTTGGTCCTTTAGGCTCAGGTTATGGTCGAGAGCGATATGCTCGTCAGCGTCAAGGTTGGGCTTGATATCGATGGAGATAACTCGCTTTCAGTCCCTCCCCACCCCATGGCCGAGAAACACATTTACACACACAGGTGAGCGTGCACAGTGGCGTGGGTTAGTTGGTCGTGTAGAGTAGGTGAGAGTTTAGGCAAGACCAGGTTGGGCTGCGTTTGAGCAATGCCAAGCATCCGGTAACCTCGCCGAGTAGAGGGCCAAATCTACGAGCGCTGGGCAGCTTCTGCCGCTCGTTGCAGGTAATTAGGTGACCGTGCTTACCCAGCTGTTAGTCTTGAACAGTTTGACCAGGGTGGAGCCCAGGGCGCCACAACCTCCGTAGACAATGACTTGCGACATAGTGATAGGGAAACTGGAATGAGCCACCGGCTTTCGCGTAGGGAAATGGAACTAGACCAAAGTAGTATTGCCAGGACAACAAGCAGGCGTACGTCCATACACATAAGCCAGCCCGTGGCTCGGGCCGTGTGGGCCAGTTGGCATGCAGTCAGTGCTTGGCCACTTGGCAAAAGAAACTCCGCCAGCACATAAGAGTCTTGCTGTCGCGGGCACGGTGAGATAGCGCAGGGGCCGCTCTGGCCTCTGCACAACTTTGGTCGCGCGCCCCACCACCACCACCTCCTTTAAGTATTCCATCCCGACTTGCGCCCAACAAAAGGCAGAAACTCATGCAAGGGGGCTAGAATACAGTCCCCATACATGGCTGTGCACGCTGCTGAGCAGAAAGCAAAATCACAGCAAATGCCGGTATCACCACCATATCCCGTAGTTACCTTGGTACGATGAGGCCCGGTGCTGGCAGCAGGCTATGACAAAGGGCCAACAATGAAGAAACTTGAGAATACATGCCCGAGTTGGGTGGGCTTGGCTTATATATGGATGCCTGAGACAGTGTGTCGGCATTACTCTCATCCACCCCACTGCCCAAGTGCCCTGGCGGTTCACCACGCCCACTCAACCAGCCTGGTGACAGCGCTGGGAATAAACCGTGTGACCCAATTGGCCTGTCCAAAGATCGGACGCAGTGATCCTCGCAGTCACACGATAGAATCACTCGGTTGCGTGGTTGCAGAGCCCCAGGACCATCAGCCCGGATAGGTGATGGCGCTGGGAAGATGATGATGCTGGGTTGTATTCACACAGCGAGGGGTGGAGAGCCCTGCTTTGCAATGCATAACAATACCAGATCTAGTCTAGAGCTGCTAGTACCAGGTTGGCAATTTTGTACAATAAAAAAGATAACGAGAATAAATCGGTGCTTCTAAAGTCCAATAAAAAATAAGCTGCAATGGAATATTTACTTGGCATTCTCCAATAGCGCATTAAATTCAAATTTTTGTAAGCGCAGTTGGTTTAGTGGTATAATTACCGCCTGCCACGCGGTAGACCCGGGTTCGATTCCCGGACTGCGCAAACTCTTTTGACAATTTTCTGGGGTCACACCTTCACGGTTTTCTCAGCAGCGGCTGCCGGATCAAGGCGGTGGTGATGCGCCCACAGTGTGGTCATGGTGACTCTTTTTGCAAAGATTCAACCACGGCTAGAATGCACCGAGGTCGGTACCTACCTCTTCTAAAGGGCTGGGTGGCAGGCAGTGGTAGCGAGCTGAGCAGGTTGGGGAATCCAATCGCAGGAAATGAGATTCCAGCCACTGTAGGCCTGACAACCTATCTGTCCTGCCCATCCATTCAGTCAGTCTACCAAACAATGTTTATAACCAAGCAATGCTACCAAGAATACAGGAATGGTTATATTTTCAGATAAAGATGTTCAACATTTGCCTTCCCCATCAAAGCCCACAAGGCCTCAAGGGAGCTACAACTTGCACAAGCCTGGTTGTATGAAGCATAATCCTAGAAAATATCAGCATAATAAGCGTGTGCTCAATAACAGTAGTCGATATGCCAAGAAGCAAAAAAGAGAACTGGAGTGTGGCTACAATCAGGCGCCTCCATGGCTTACTCCACCTTGGGTGGGGATACCGACGCATCCTTGTCTACCATGTTCCAGTCCGTATCAGACTCCGTGGGCTGGGCAGGGGTGGTGGGTGATTGGGCGTTGGGTGACGCTTGGTCGGCAGTTTGGGCCAGGGGTGCGCTGGATGGGCTTCGGCTGTTTCCCATATCAATATCCGAGAAACTGGTCCGGTGGGGCTCAGGCGATGTGGTCGCAGGTGCTGCAGTGCTGGGCGAAGCCGTGGTGGCCATGGGTGAAGTCTCCTCCTTGGGCATGGTGCGCAGAGGCTGCGCGGACTGGTTATCGGCCGACAGCTGTTCCTCACTCACCCATTGGTCCGTGGCACTGGGAAGAGGGTTAGGAATGGCCTGCGTAGGGGATGGACTCACAATTTTTCCAGGTTTGACCATCACCACCGATGCCCGGGCTGCCCCTGTAGCGCCTGAGGACTCGGTATGCTCGGCACTGGTAGTTCGTCCAGGCAATACTGGTGGGGCTCCAGCAGACCCGTGGCGCTGATACTGAGCGCCATCCGTGCTACGCCGAGGCAGTGGAGGCGGGGGACCATTGTACGCCTCGTCTTCCTCGTCTTGGATGATTCGGCTGTGGAATGCTCCACCACTGTTGGTGCCACCACCGTAGCTTGCGTTTCCGGGCATGGGATGGGAAGGATCATGATGGTCTTTGACAGCTTCGTTAATCTTGTGGGACACTTGGTTCCATAAGCCCTGCAGCTTGACCCAGGACGATTCAGTGAATGCGGTGACCTTGTCAATGAATTCAGGAGACTTGCGACCGTGGTGTGGGCCAGTGGGGTCATTGGCAAAGTCTACATTGTACCTGCCCTGGGGAGAGTACAACGGCCGCTGGGGTAGCGGAGGCTGGCCGCTGGTTTGGTGCTGGTGGGCCTCGTACTGCTGTCGCTCTTGGTCTTCCAGCTGCAGCGCCAGCTCGAGGTCGCGAGCAATCTGCTCGTCGCGGCTGGTGTCGGCTGCGTTGGTGGGGGCATCATGCGTAGCAGAACTGAGAGCGTCCTGACTAGCCCGTGGTGACGACAGCTCGGCGGCATCGTTGAGAGCAGTGTCTGGTGCCGTGGGGCTCGCTGCGTTCTTGGCGCTCTCCTCAGTTGCTTGGGTGACCAACTGTGGCGACCAGGTTTCCGCCGGGGAGGCCCTGGCGTTCGCCGCTGCAGCTATTGGGGGACTACTTGTGGCCGTGTCCGCCGGCACCGTGGGCTGGTTGGTCGGGGGAGACGATGAGCCGGGCCCATCCGAGTCGTCCGGGCCAGCCATTTCGAGGAGGATGTTGATTGCGTTGTTGAGGTTACCTTGTTGGACGTGTAGCACCGTTTCGCGTACGTCGGCGTCCACATTGGGGAACATGCGGGACAGAATTTGAAGGTTCTGCTGAAAGGTATCGGCCATGGTGGACGGCAGAACCACTCTTGGGCACTTGGACGGAGCGTCAGTGACCGTTGGGTGACGGGCGCAAAGGAACGGGGACGACAGTGGGGAGAAACAGATGGCGAACGAGGAACAAAACCCGTCCGGACTGGAGCGACCAGGGGCTGAACCAATGAGCAACAGGTGAAACGGGTTGTTCGCAGACGCTACGGCCAAGGACTCGCTAGAGTGGATGGTATGATTGAAATCAAAGCCCACGATAGCGGCAGCACCGCCGTATAGTTGATACGGTGGGTGTGGTAAGGTGGTGTCACAGTAATAAAGCGCCGAGTAGATAGAGCCCAGCAGTGAGGCAGGGTAAGGTGCGAACGCTACCGCATAAAAGGCTTAAAGTGAGCAGTGCGTTGCTCGGGACGAGGGCAGGTGGTGGTTAGTTATATACGTGGCCCTAGGCCTCCATTAACGACCATGCGCACAAAGGCCAAGACTGTGCAACCCAAGTCCCCTAGCCCGCTCTGGGCCGATATGACCATAGTGCGTGAGCCAGCCAAGCCCGCTTTTCTGGTTCGCGCGCCAAGCCTGGGGCTGTTTTTTTTAAATCACTCTTTTCCTTTCATTTTTTTGGGCTGCGATGCCAAGCTTGGCACATGGTTGGCATGGCGCAGTCGGGCGTTTCAAGACTTCTATCGTGCTTCTTTTGTAGGCGAGAGGGCCGCCAATAACAATACCAGCGTCGCGAGTGTGAGCCATGGGGCCGATGGTTGCCCAGGCGCTCGCACACAACGGAAGAAGACCATTGGCGCGCAAAGATAGCATGGCCCGCTGGATCGGGCTATTTGACCGCCTGTCCTCGCAGACCGGTTGGCAGCAGAGGCCTGGTTAGAACGCCTGCGTGCCTTATGCAGCAGGAAGCGAAGGGAGATAATGCAAAGTTGTGGATGCAACCCTCATGGCTGATGGCCCTTGGCTGAGACCAGCGCAACGTAGACTGTGTCGAGGAGCACGGCAGCGGCGATATTATGTTAGATCGCAGGCTGGCAAAGTGTCACCCGGGATATCGGCCGGTCATCCATGCCATGGCTCACATCGGATGGGAACATGCTTGCCGTTATGGCTGATGCCGAATGATACCCTACCCTGTCGCGAGTATTGCCGGGCAGCGCTGACATAAAAGAAGCAGCCTGATACCTGACTTGGGGATAGGCGGTCATGGCACCTATGATCGTCTGCTGCTGTCACCATCACTAACGTCATCACGCGTCCGCTCGCCAGCTCGCCTCGGCTGGCTCGTTGGCTTCTTTTTTTCTTGACCATGGGCCCTTTTTTTGCTTCCCTTATGCTAACCGATGTCCCGTCATGGGGGGCGATTTGAGCGATGCCAGATCGCACAACCCCCCAGAGCGCTCTCAAGACCAATGAAATAAGACGCAGGCCGTTGTTAATAAAACAACAAAAACAAAAACAAGGTAAAACGTGGCCTGGGCTAGAGCATTGCCGTTACCTAGTGACGTCGACTTAACTTGCCTTACACTGTAATTCCCAGCGGGCACCCATCTTTTTACGACCGAGTAGCGTTCGGACACCTGCACACCCATGGCCGAATACACTGTGGTGTTTTCAGATGGCTTTGCGTCCAAACCCAAGCACCGACTCATCGAGCTACCGCCCGAACTGGCGGCCTGGCTGACCACGGGCGAA